GCCTGGGGCAGCAAGCCGCGGGGGGCGGCCTGCCAGTCACCGTGAGGGCGGCACTCAAGCTGCCTTCCGCGGCATGCCTGCGGGACTGGCGACCTCCCGCAGGCATGCCGCCGAATCCGCGTTACCAGTGGACCTCCCGCAGGCATGCCGCCGAAAGCCGCCTGACTGCCATGCTTGGGGCGGCAAAATACATAGAGCCACCCCTGGTGGGAGGAGTCCATAATGGGGGCAAAAAGTTACATAGCAAAGAAAGACAAATAAGGAACAGAAGGTGATGAAACAGGTGGGAGTCAGGCTGTGGAAAGCCTTTAAGGACCTCAGTTTTGATGCAGAAGGAAAGGGGAAGCCCATGACGGGATCTGAATCAAGGGGGTATCCAAGAAATGAACACAGCTAAAATACAGATCAAGCTGTATCAACAGACATACAGATAAACTATAGCAATAAAATTCCTAGAGGAATGAGAGCACCTCTCCCATGCTCCTATCTATTAGGTTTGAAAGGGAACAGAAATGCTATGTCAGACGTTTAAAAACAGCAGGGGAGGCTATCCAAAAAACCATTTAATCAAAGATTTTTTAGAACTGATCCCATGAGGCTGAGAACTGAGGCTCCAAATAAAGCCAAAGGAAGCTGGCTTAAAGGGGAGTGGCTCAGCCCCTCTCCGGATCAGCAATACACACGCCACAGTTAAAAAAAAGAGGTATGGCACCAAGCCACTGTCTCCAATTTGAAAATCTCTTGAGGTTGTTGCCCTAAGATGTTTCACAAGAGGAGTGAATGGACAGGAGGAACGGAAGGGTTGTTTAATGGGGTTTGTAAGTTGCAGTTCCGACAGCAACTGGATTGGAATCAGCACAAATATGTGTGTCACTTGGCAGCAGTGATGTCCAAGCATGGTTTGCGACCTTCACTGGTGACTCAACCCTTGACAGCAAATAAAGATCTGCCTGTTTAGAACTCTAAAGGCTTCGCAGCTGGACGTGCATACTGCCCTACAACTGCCCGCTAGGGAAATACAGCATTTGAAAGGAGTTCTCCTTTGCTTGTTTTTCTTGTCCAAAGGACATTTAAACAACCACCTTGTAACATGGGCCTTCCCCTTTCCTTGCTGCCTTGGCCCCAGTTCCTAATGATAGTGCCCTGGCAGAAGGGAATGGGACAGAGCAGCAGGGTCGTTGCTGATGTGGGAGAGTTCAACTGGATTCAGAGGAGAGATCATACACCTTGCTAGCCAGGGCCCAAAGACTAGGGTGACCAGATGTCCTGTTTTTAATGGGACAGTCCCGTATTTAAGCATTCTTCCAGATATCCTGACTTTTTGTTAAATATGGGCAAATTGTCCCGTATTTTCTGGGATCGCAGCACAGAGCCAGCAGTGGGGGGCAGCAAGCGGCCCTGCCACCCCCCTTTGCTCTCGCCAGCGCACGCCCGCGACAGAATCTCCCTTGCAGCCTTCTCCAGCGGCAGCAGCAGCACCAGTGCCAGGGATGGGCAGTGACAGCACGGCCAGGAGCAGCCCAGGCTCCACCACTCCCCCTGTTCCTGCTGCTGCACCTGCCCCGCCACCCTCCTGGGCAGCACTCCAGCTTCGCTGCCATCAGCTCCCACCTTGCATGAGGGAGAAGCCAGGCGTGCCCTTCCTCCTCCATGCACCTGCTGTGCTCCCTGCTCCCCCGGGCGGAGGGGGCAGTGGGAGCAGGCTGTGAGCAGCGTTTCACCTCACAGCCTACCAGCCCCCCGCCGCACGTGGGACCCCTAGTGGGGTGTGGAGGAACGTGGTGGGTCATGACAATGCCAGCCCTGCACTGGAGGGAGGGCTAGGAAGAGCAGATCAGGCTGGCCAGTCTGCCCTACATGGGGGGCCTCAGGCAGCCCCACGCGCGGGCATGTGATGGGGGGGGGTGGCTCGGACCACCAGCCCTGCAGGCAGGTGACGGGGGGCTCGGACCACCCACCCCGGCGGGAGGGGGGGGGGGGGGGGGGGGGGGGGGGGGGGGGGTCACTTGCAGGCGACGGGATGGCTTGGGCTAGCCCAAGAGCATGGGGGCTGGGGAACTCAGGGAGGGCTTGGGCCAGCCTGGGGGTGTCCTGTTTTCCCTTTGGGAAAATATGGTCACCCTACCAAAGACCCATAAGAAACTGCTAACCTAGGACCAAATACAACTGTGAATTCATAGGGGGGAGGGGGAGGAAGAGGGGGGAGAATGCAAGGGGGAGTGTTTCTGAGGGACCAAAATTGAGACATGTCCAATTTTGGTCCCTCAGAAACACTCCCCCTTGCATCAGGAAAGAAAGGTAAAAAATTCTAAAATCATCTGTTGCCTGCATACCTGCAGAGAGCAGACCCCTATCAGACTCCACTGGAGACAGAGAGCAGACCCATATGACAGACATAAGAATGCCAGTGGCGTAGCCAGGTGGAGGGAAGAGAGGGAGTGGATCCCAGTGGTGGGGGGCTCCCAGCGGGGGGCAGCAGCACTGCCTTGAGGGCAGCGCGGACTCGGAGTCGATGGGCCAGACCCAGCGCAGCGTACACTGAGCAGGGGACCCCTGAGCTGGGCTGTACTATCTCCCATTGGCCTGGAGCAGCGACCCGTGGCCACTGGGAGCCGCAATCAGCCGAACCTGCAGACGCGGCAGGTAAACAAACTGGCCCGGCCCACCAGGGGCTTTCCCTGCACAAGCGGTGGAACAAGTTTGGGAACCACTGGTCTAGATAATACTTAGTCCTGCCTTGAGTGCAGGGGACTGGACTAGATGACCTCTTGAGGTCCCTTCCAGTTCTATGATAATTTCCCCTAATATATGAAGAAGCCAGTGTTCTCTAGGAAGTTTGCAAAATCCACCTCTGAAAAAGTAACTTGTACATTTACACTATAGACCATAACTGCTCCAGAGCCAACTGGACCTTTACATTCACACGTGCAGATAAAACATTACAACCAACAAGGGGCAGAAAACTCCAGAGTTAAGGCTAAAGATCTGCCTTCATCTCAGGGACTGACCTTACATAGTTCATTCACAGGAGACCCAGAACAGTGGGAGATTGTAAAAGGTATCTACAGGCTATCAACATGTACAGATGTTATTTGCTGTGGGGGAGGGGAGTAAATGGCTGGTATTTATATATTTTATAGTGGTAAAAACCAGGCCATTTTATTTGAGATGTTACTGTGAAATTTAATTATGGCAGAGTGCCTGAAGCCAGGGTTCAGCACCTATTTATGTTTTTGTACAGTGCTTTGCACAATGGGGTCCTGGGCTTCTAAGTACCACAGTAATACAAATAAATAATAATAATAAATAAAGATATATAGCACAAGATCAGCAATGCAGGCACAAAAGGAGCTGCTCAAGACATGAGGCCTGGTTCTGATCTCCATTTCCTTGGTGTAAAATGGGAGTTACTTCCACTGAAGCTGGTGGGGTTACACCAGTGCAACAGCAGCGTAAGATCAGATTCAGGCTGATCATTTCAACTTTAAATTTCTGGCTTTTGTAACACCCTTAATATTGGTGCTTTGTGCACAACTTTTTTTTTTAAAAAAAGAACCAGATTAGCTGGATGCCAGAACAGCCACCTGTTAAACTTGAGTTTACTGTTCAAAGCATTTGATTTTTAAAAAAATTAATCAACGATGCAGAGATTCCCACTGTAATGGAGTACATATTTTTAAGTGCCTTATTTGCTCTTACTTAGGCAAAACTCCACTGATTTCAGTAAGAATGTTGCTTTGGTAGGAAGTGTTGAACAGGAAGCTAAATGGGGATTAAGTGCCAGATCTGGTCATCCCTCAATACACTAAAGAGATCCAAAGATTCAGACTTTTAGACACAAGTCAAACCACCGCAGAACAGAAAAGCAAACTTCTTGTTTGTTTTGGCACTGTGAATTCTTTGCAGCTTATCTTTGGTGTAAGTGGGAAATCCAGCAATACATTTTCTAACTCAAAAGATCATTTTCCTGTCCAAAAAAGGACAGCTTCTTTTGTAAGTTCACCAGCTGGGGATCATTTTGTGGGAAGTATTGCTATACCTAGAGTCTCATTGTAAACAGTAATTTAACCATTTTTAAAAAATCCATCTTTAAAAAAAAACAAGAAATAATTTGGATACTTGGCAAAGAACCTGTTCAATTGCTAAATGAGTAACAGTTAAAATATTCCAATGACAAGCAAGGAATGAAATACACTAAGTAAAAAGAACAATGTCTGAAAGTTAGTAATTGCAACTTGTTCTAATAGTGGCAATGAGCTCTAAAATATGCTTCCAGAATTAAACATTTCTGCTTGGCCCGACCGCAGCGTGGGAGACCCAGGCTCGGGAATGACCTTAGGTTAAATCATGTTCAGATTTAAGTGGGAGAGGTAAAAGGAAAGGTCCATACCATGTCGCCATCCTAGGGAGGAACCAGTTCAGAGCAGTATTAAAGTCCTAAGCCAAGATTTTCAGAAGTAACTGGTGATTTTGGGTGTCTGACTTGACACACCTTAAAGGAGCCTGATTTTCAGAGGAGGGTGCTTAGCATTTTCTGAATATCAAGATCCTTTAAATTATCTCAAGTTGGGCACTGCTGACAATCCACAATATTGCTGTTGTCACTGCTGAAAATCCTGGCGACAGAGGTAAGCCAATTTAGCCGCAGGGTTTCTGTTGCAATTTAGAAGTGGTTTTGGGAATTAGTGAGGGATTTCAGATTTAAATAAAGAAAATAATTGCCTTAGAATTACAAGATAAGTAGGTATCTAGGTTTGTTTACCTAAGTAGGTCTTGATTTAATTATTTAGAGTCTCCAGATACTGTTGCTTATGCTTAGAAGCATATGAGCTCTTCGGAGTCAGGAAGAAGAACGGGAAAGCCCACACGTGGACACCATAATAAAAATGCTTCCACACTGGGTTTATACTGTTGCAACTCCAACTTCAATAGTGTAAGTGAAACCTGGCCCGTATACTCTACGTAAAAATGGCATAAACAGAGGAAGAAGACAGTCATACCGGATTATGCCAAGAGGATCTACATCTTCTTCCTCCTCTTCCTCCTCTTTTCTGGCATCTTGATCTTTTACTAACCCAAACCGAGGGATTATGTCGGATGTCCTCTCCTCTTTGAAGAAATCTAACTCTTCATTTTCTTCATCTTCTTCCTCCTCCTCAGGAACATTTTTACCTTTCAAGTCAATGACACTAGTAGATTTTGTCCCTGCAAAAAACAATAATGCACGAAGAACTGAGCATGCCAATTTAAACTCACAGCCATACTTTTTTGTCAATTTCTTCCACTTGTTCCCAATAGTTCGGCTTGGGGAATGTGTTCCTAGCTTTACAATCAGCTTTTGTCAACTATATCCAGCAATCTGGACTGGAGAGTTAGTTCCCCCTATCCACTAACATGCCATTATATGCACCTCTAGATCTGAAATACTTGATACTGACTTAACATATCTGGACTGCTCTCAGGTCAAACCCCATCAGAGAGTGAAAACTAAAAGTACAATCCTGGACTGCATGAAAAATGAAGTTGAGATCAGCATGTGGTACAATTCTTCAATTCGCACACATAAATAAAAATCTAAAATGGGTAGAAGAGACTGTGCCCACTAGAACAGAGGTTCCCAAACTGTGGTACACATACCCCTGGGGGTACGCAAGACATCTCTGGGGAGCACAAGGGAGAAACAGTATAATGGTGGATTTTATTTATTAATTATTTTATTTATTGCATTTTTATAATAGGCTACTCAGATGCAGCTTTAAAACTCTGTGGGAATTTGTTATATATAATATGGTAGTTAATTTACTTCAAGATGTACCAGTGAGAACACACAGATACTCAGAGACGCTGACATACACAGCCCTCATCTCCAACCACCGTACAGCGTGGGTTCAGTTGCCGTCTAACTGAGCTCAGAACTTAGTCAAGGGGTTTTATTTCGGTTATGTACATTGCATTATAAATATATCTGTATGTAACAGTGAAATATGGACAGATGGCTAAAGACAGGTAGTGTTGAGAAGAACACACAAAGTATCAGTGATGAGAAGGGAAGAGGTACACAGGCGGCTGGTAAATCTGGAAGGAGATACGCAATAAGAAAAGTTTGGGAACCCCTGCATTAGAGCATGCACTGGAATGGAACCCAAGCTTCCCAAGTCTCATCATTCCTCTGCTGCCAGAAAATATCTGTGAAAGCCTCTGGCAAAGTGTTGCATCCCCCTCTAGTGCTGGTCCACACAGAGGATAAGGGCCTACCACTGCTATCAATTACTCTGTTAGCTCAAGTGGCAGATGTCTGTGCAGTGGATGTAAAGGTTCCAACTCTTCCGATAATCCAGGTGGGTGTCAATCTGATGCCACATGATGGAATTAATTTTTTCCAGTTTCCTTTTTAAAAAAACCTAGAAAATTACACACAAAAATACTGTGTTATAAGAACATTATTAAGGTTGCAATGTCAAACACCCCATAGATAGGAAATGCCAGAATTAAGATTACCTGTGCAACCCCTTATGAGTATGTATTATGATACAGGCTTTAATTATTTGGTCACATCCTATTTTTTCCACAGGACCCTCTGCTTCATTCATTTCGTGAGCAGCTATTCAATATTGTCTTTTCTCCTCATTGTTCAGTGCGTGGCCCCAGACCTTATTTATTGCACACTGTTCAAATCCTACCATGAAGACAGAATTATTAATTTCCTCATGGGCTTTCCTATGGCATTTATCACTGTAGTATCCACATGCTTCACAAACATTAATTAATTGATTTTCACAACACCTATGCGAGGAAAGTCTACGTTTACAGATGGGGAACTGAGGCACAGAGAGATCAGAGTCAAACCGTTCATTAATATTGGATGCCCAATCTGAGATGCCTAGGGCCCGGTTTTTCAGAGCATTATACAGCATTTTATATGTTCATGGCACAGCTCCCATTGACTTCAGTTGCAGCTGTGAGTGCTCTGCATTTCTACAAATCAGACCCCAGTATCTCAAGTCAGGCATCCAGAAAATGAGGAACACACAATTAGTGTGAAAAGACTGCTTTAAGTGGCTTGTCCAGATCACACAGGAACCCTGCGGCAGGGGCAGGAGCAAAATCCAATTCTCCAGGGCAGCATTCAACTGCCTGAACCATGAGACCATCCTTTCTCTTCCTGCAGTCCCCTGCTTCTTTCACTACACATCTTCCAACTTCAGCAACAAACAAAGCAAGGTCTGTAGACAATAGCCTCCTTCAATATGCAGCCCTCATTCATCTCCAGAGCAGGTCCATCCTGTGCAATGAATGAGGCAAGGAAAAAATAGCATGTGATCATGTCATTAAAGATTGTACCATAATGCATATGCACAAGGGGGGCTGAATTAAGGTTACACAGAAGACCTTAATTCTAGTATTTCCTAACTTTTGAGTGCTTGACTTAATATCGTTTTAAAAGGTGTGTGTGTGTGTGTGTGTGTGTGTGTGTGTGTGTGCGTCTGTGTACGCGTGCATGCGTGCGTGTGCAATATAATTATTTTAGTTACCTAAGAATTCCAGTAATTCAGGACTTGTTGCTAGTTCCAGATCTTTGGCGATGAGCCTCATGATGTCATTGAACACCACTCTTCGTTCTCGGATATCAGATTCCCCGACAAACAGAGCTTTCCTGGGTAATGGTGGAAGAGATGCCTGTGGGTAGTGGGCAGTCAGCTTTTGGTAAAACTCATCAATCTCACTGTACTTCTTAGAGACCTGTAATGAAATATACATGTTGGATTCGTTTATGAACAGACAAGAGTGAAGGACAGACCGCAAACGTGCAGGGAGTTATGCTCCATGAAACATTTCCCCTGGATGCCTCAGTGTAAAATATGCAGTACCAAAAAGCTTTCCATCTGGCCTGGTGTCAGCTTGTCATCTTTGTAGTTCACCACACAGCGTTACTGTGATCCCCTACTGTAATGAAATAAAAATCCAGCACAGTATTCAGTCAGACAGCATGGGCATCAGCTACTTGCATACATAGAGGATCAGAACTCGAGATATTCTTCTTTGAAAGCACAGGCCCCTAACATTCAGCTACAAACGGACTCTTTGCTGCCTGCCCTGTGAGAGGTCAGGAAGTAGGAACCTCTCCAGTCTAGCATCCTAATGGAAAAAGCTGCAGGGATCTTATTCAGGGCCGGCTCCAGGCACCAGCTTGCCAAGCAGGTGCTTGGGGCGGCCACTCCGGAGAGGGGCGGCACGTCCAGCTATTCGGTGGCAATTCGGCAGACAGTCTCTCACTCCCGCTCGGAGCGAAGGACCTCCTGCCGAATTGTCGCCGCAGATCGCGGCTTTTTTTTTTTTTTTTTTTTTTGCACCGCTTGGGGTGGCAAAAACCCTGGAGCCGGCCCTGATCTTATTCCCAGTTTGCTGCTTCTCTTTAAGACAGATTTGCCAACCTTGGTAGGTAGCTGCTCTACGCTGTTGGTGCCTGAATGTCTGCCACATTTGCTAATGTACCTGATAACCAGCACAGAACCTCAGAACTTGTCACTACCTCTATTGGGAAGCAATGACTCTGAAAAAAGATTTGGGGGTCATCAGCTGAACATGAGCTCCCAGTACGACGCTATGGACGAAATAGCCAATGCAATCCTGGAATACATAAGCAGGAATCACAAGTTGGAGCAGAGAGGTTACTTTACCTTTGTATTTGGCACTGGTGTGACCGCTGCTGCAATACTGTGCCCAGTTCTGGTGCTCACAATTCAAGAAGGATGTTGATAAATTAGACAGAGTTCAAAGAAGAGCCACAAGAACAATAAAAGGATTAGAAAACATGTCTTATAGTGACAGACTCAAAGAGCTCAATCTATTTAGCATAACAGAAGATTAAGGGGTGCCTTGATTATAGTCTATAAGTATCTACATAAGGAACTCAATGCCCACAAATACGAAGGAGGCATCACAGCAATACACTCTGCTACTCCAGACACAATTATCTGGCTTAACCATCTTAATGTAAAACTATAGTAGTTGCTCTACATTTACTTCAGCCAGAAAAAGAAGACTGAGTGAGGCAATTCCTCATCTGCTGGACAGCAAGGGGTGTCAACTGAGACAGTATCTCATTTACATATAAACACCAGGTACTTTGAGAACACGGGGGTATAATTTGACCCAAGTTTTGTACTTGGGGCCCATAATTTTTGAGATTACCCTGTTGGGAACCCACCTACACAAAGCCTGGACAATGACTGGGGAAGAATCACCCTGATTAAGCCAATGTTTGCCGGGGTGGGGTAAGAGGCCGGGACAGACAGACCCAGGGGACAGAAGTACAAAGGCTGGATGGATTCTTAAAACCACTGAAACCCTTGTATCTGAAATTGCTGTGCTAAGACCTATCATTGCCTTATGTGAGCAGAGCTCACCTAAGGTTCCTACCAGTGGCAAGCAGAGGCCAGAGCCCAGCCGCAGTTCTGGTCATCTGAGCAGCAGGCAAAGAAAAGTTGGAGTTGGGCCCAGCCATAGCACCCAATAGGCAAAGAAAAGCAGCAGTTGGTTTCACCCACAGGTCACAGCTTCTAGCAGCAGAGTGAGAGCAACAGAGCGCACTACAGCGAGAGCAGAGGAATTTGTAGCAACAGTCTGTGTCAGCTTAGCAACTAGGATGAGGTCTGCCTGTCCTAGGTGCTGAAATCAATAAAGCAGGAGGGGTGGTAGAGCCCCAGAGCTGCCTACAAAACAGGGACTCTGATTTTCCTGAACTCTTGGAATCACAGACTGTAAGTATGGAAGCTGGGGAACCATGAACTGAGAGTGGGAGGCTGGAAGGCAGAACAAAGTGCATCAGCCATTCAGGGTCCAATTGTTTGGGACTGTGACTTATGCACCCTGGGGTAAACGGTGGTAGAAGGTGTGAAATTGTAAATGTTTGTCCCATTCAACCTGGCCTTTCCCTTTTCTCCTCCACACCCTCCCCTCCCAAATGAAGTTTGTTTGTTTAAACCTCTGTGCTTGCAAGCGGGTACAGATTTGCCTAGTAAAGGTACTTAGAGTGGTTATAGGTAGTGATCACTTGGTGGATGTTCGAGCCAAAAATTAAGAAACTGCAGAGAATCCCCTAAAATAAGGACCCAGCCCTTGTTGCTGCCAAAGGCCACTGGTAGAAGAGTTACACTTTACCGGCAGAACTCCTCCTTCTGTTGGCATATGTTGCGTCTACACTGGGGGCTGTGGCATAGGCTCTGCAGTGTAGACATAGCCAGAGCGGGGACAGGAGATTCCTCGTTTCTTCTCCAAAAAAACAGATATTGTTCTTCAATGATGTGCACAATATGTCAAATGTAGAATTAATTGTAATAAGTAGCAAGTTAATTTATTAAAGTAATATGAAAGAGCAACTAATCCATAGAACTACCCCCCAAAATATTACATTCAAATTCAAAACTGAGCATTGGGATGAGACAAAAAAACCTTAAATATTACTTTTTTTCTCTTCACCCCAGAAAATGTTAATCTTCCTATGCAAACCAAATGTGCACATTTTTCATAAATCTCAATTTGTGTTTACACTATTGAATTTAGAGCAAATGCGCACCCTCGTACACTATTACTAATTAAACCATTGAAAATCCCTGTAGGCTTCCCACAACAACCAACCATCATGTGCAATACAGCACACAGAATGTGCTAAATACTCTATCCCAAGCATACTAATTTGCTACTTGAAAGTCTGCATGTTATTACACCATGCAAAATAATTTGAGACAGTGCTTAAGTGCCCTCTGCTGGAATAGTCTATCATGTACCAGACTCAGGATTAAATATCTAAATATCTTTTTTTATTCTAGCAAATAAATAAAAATCAATACTATTAATCTGTAATATGTGGTTCAAACGATTTTCTCCTATTACCTATGATTCTTCTAGGCCCCAATTCTGCAAACACTTATATACATGCTTAACTTTACTCATGCAAGTAGTATCCTTTGGCCAGATTCTCAGATGGTGTAAACTGGCATAATTGGCTTAAATAGAATTCACACCATCTAAGACTCTGGCTAATCAACTTCAAAGAGACTACTCATCTGAATGAAACTAAGCACAAACGTATTTGCATGACAGGGGTCCTATTTACAACATTCATTTTGAAAAGACAGCATGCACTTTAGGAAGAAGGATTTTATTGCTAGAAACACATAAATTTATCAGGAATAAAAACATGCTGAAATAGCTGGAAGAGTAAGAAAACTGCCCGGAAGTTCAAGGTGGAGACTGAAACTTTGGCTCCAACCCTACAAGTGATACACATGAGGAATCCCAGTGAAGTTATCAAGATGTATGTGAAGTTAAGTACCGCCCGCCAGCCCCCCGCTACTGTGAGAAGCTAATTTAAAGAGCCTGTGTAGGCAGTTAATTGAATAAGGTGCATTTGGGCCTGATAAAAGGCCTTCAGGGCTCAGTTTCAGTGAAGTGTTCTCAGAGAAACCACCTCTCTAAAGAGAGAGGAACTCCCAGAGACCACAGGCCACAAGGTGGGGGGCTGTGCAACCCTGAGCCCAAAGGGAGAAACTTCTGGCCAGAGAGCCCAGGACTGAAACTACAAGCCCCAAGAAGCAGGAGGGCCGGGCAGCCCTGGGCAGTTGTTAAGGGGCCCCGGAGCAGGGAGTGCCTGCAGGGCCTCATTAGGTCAGCAGAGGGCACTATAGGACAGGCACACCCCACAACAAAGCCTTTGTCCCAAACTCATGCTCTTGTGCTTTTTGTTCACAAGGAGTTCAGTGTGCAGAAGACATGGTGTGTCCTTAACTCACTGCCCAACAGCTTTCTGAGTACTACTCTTCATTTTATAGTATTTTACAGTATGCACATTTGAACTGTGTTTTCCATTTTTAAAAAGCACTTCTTCATACTACAGGAAAATGGAGGCCTGGCATTGTGGCCTTTGAATTGAAACAATTGCAGGCTTTGGCTAAAGGCATTTTGGGCTGTATAAGTAGGGGCATTGCCAGCAGATCGAGGGATGTGATCATTCCCCTCTATTCGACATTGGTGAGGCCACACCTGGAGTACTGTGTCCAGTTTTGGGCCCCACACTACAAGAAGGATGTGGAAAAATTGGAAAGAGTCCAGCGGAGGGCAACAAAAATGATTAGGGTGCTGGAGCACATGACTTATGAGGAGAGGCTGAGGGAACTGGGATTATTTAGTCTGCAGAAGAGAAGAATGAGGGGGGATTTGATAGCAGTCTTTAACTAACTGAAAGAGGGTTCAAAAGAGGATGGATCTAGACTGGAATGGGTTCCCTAGGGAGGTGGTGGAATCTCCTTCCTTAGAGGTTTTTAAGGTCAGGCTTGACAAAGCCCTGGCTGGGATGATTTAGTTGGGAATTGGTCCTGCTTTGAGCAGGGGGTTGGACTAGATGACCTCCTGAGGTCCCTTCCAACCCTGATATTCTATAATAATCTCTTTTTACAGAGATTCCAATCCCAGGTTGCAAAGTCAAGTACTCAAAAGATAAGAAGTTAAGATGTAATTAAGGTTGTCCCTGCAATCTTGTGCCTCAGTATTATGATAGTTACATGATCACATGCTATATTTTCCACCCTGCCTCATTAAGTGCAAATAGGATGAGGCTCAATATTTCTTTTCAGCAACATGTGGCCCCACGTCTTATTTACTGCACACCAACCAACTGCTGCACTGAGTGTGGAATTGTTTTATTACCCCATGGGCTTTTCAGCTGCATTTATCTCCTAGAA